ATATCGATTTCATTCATCTAAGGCGGCTCGGGACTTAAAGGATATTGGATGTTGGGAATTAAGTGTGGAGGAATCCTCATCAAACCAAGGAATTCGAGTTGAGGCTGTTTCTTGTGTTGTGGATTTGAAGATTCATCACGGCGGTGCTGGAACAACAACGACTGGGCTAAAGCTGGGGTAAAATATTATATTTTTTCATCTTCATACTTCCATGCCCATCACAGTCAGTGGTGTGGAGTCTTATTAGTTTTTCCCGACCACATGGCACCTAATGGTTCCTTCTATACTCTATTGGATTCCATCTATTTCTGCAGTGTCCAACAACGATTGTCCCGTTCTTTGGGGATCAGTTCTTCTGGGGTGACATGATCTATGAGAGAGGACTTGGGCCTGCACCAATACCTATAGCTCAACTCAATGTTGAGAACCTTAGTAATTCCATAGGATTCATGCTTCAACCAGAGGTAAACAAACAAAACTCGAAGTCTAAAAGGTTTAAGCCAATGAAAAAGGCTCGAAACTTTTCCCTAGGTTGAAAACTGAAAAAACCTCCAAAGCTCTCTATAATTTGATGTATTTTACAAGTGAGATCTCATCTTTATTTGTACATTAAAAGGTAAAAGCAAAGCATAGGACACCAATTGTGCGCTTTCAGGTGAAATCACGAGTGATGGAACTAGCGAAAGTACTGGAGAACGAGGATGGTGTAGCTGCAGCAGTTGATGCATTCCACAGGAATTTGCCACCAGAGCTGCCATTGTGATAGCTATGACCGACCTCCTGTTATTTATTAGTATGGGAGAAAGATTATCAAGGGGACTTGAGAGGGAAGCAACATCAATGGTCTGTTATACAAATGAGACCATTGGGGAATAAGCAAGTGGGCCAGGTAAAGTTGGGCTGCGGTTAAGGTTTCCTGCTAGTCATCTNAGATAAAGACAAGAGGACAGCNCAGAGGAGAGAGGAGACAACGGATATAAAGAGTGTACATCAGCCTACGTTTATTTTCATGATTTGTTTTGGATCATCTTTTGAGTGTGAGGGGTGTACAGAAAGAGAGTACTTTTGTAGCCCTTGTTTTGGTGTGAGACATTTGGAGTTATTAAGAAATTTGTTATCTTCATTCAGCTCTCTTAGTCACAAAGATTACATTTTGAGAACGATTCCTATCAACTTTGGTATCAGAGCTTGGTTCAATCTCAGGGAAATGGATCATAGCTTACCTCAGTTATCACCGGTGACTGAAGATTCGAGAGAAGGATCGAGGGTACTGTCGGAGACGTTGTCACAGAACCCATCGGCGATCTCAGTTTTGATGACGATGACCGCAGAAGAAAGAAGAAGGAGTGGGAAAGGGAGAGCCTTTCGGCGGCAGGGAACGCTGGGTCGTCGATGAGCACTTTTCCGGTCATCCACCAAGCGGATGAGGCTTCGATGTACACGCCTGAAGAACCGCGGCCACTAGAGCGGAGGTCCTATACCCAACTCTTTCCCGAAAGGAGGGTAAGCAAAACACCACTAGGGAGGGCCGAAATGGAGGCGCAAAACCCTTTCAGCCGAAGGT